AGACAAAAAGTCCACACGGTACAATATATCGAGTACAGTGTTGAGGAATGTATCTAATTACAAAGATCTTGGAGTTATTATGACTAGTGATCTGAAATGGTCAAAACATGTTGAACAAATAGTTCACAAAGCAAATAAGGTTCTTGGCTTACTTAAACGCACAGTAGGCGGTAAAAACAAAGATATTTTTTCAAACTTGTACAAAACCTTGGTTCGTCCAATCTTGGAATACGCCTGCCCGGTGTGGTCACCACACCTCATCAAAGACATCGATGAAATTGAGAAGATACAAAGAAGAGCCTCGCGAATTGCCTTAGGCCAAAGAAGACAAGAGATGGCGTATACGGAGAGGTGTAAAATTCTTAAATGGAACTCTTTAGTACAAAGGAGAGATTTCCTTTCCTTAGTGGAATGTTATAAAACTGTATTCAATCTAAATGGATTGAATTTCAGCGACTATTTTGAACTTTGTAAAAACACTAAATCGAGATCTAACCACCCATATAAACTACAACTCAAACTCGCAAAACTGAACTGTTACAAAAATTCTTTCTTTGTCAGAATTATCAAACCCTGGAATGTTCTTCCTATTAATTCATTTAATTTTTGTGATAGCCCTAACGTTCGTGAGTTTAAATCAAAATTGAAGAAACATATGAATATTTATTGAATCGTCATTTTATAATTGATATTTAGCTGTTTCTTATTTGACTTTTTTATATTTTTATTAACTAGCTCTGTAAGATTTTTTACATAAATAGGAGACCGTTAATATAGGGCCAACCTCTGGGTTTCCTTTTTCTTAATAATTATGTATTTGCATGTTGTTCCGAAATAAAGTATTGTTATTAAGCCGGAGGCTTAAATGGCTTATGGTCAGAGACAAAGACTAATTTTTCAAAGAACAACAGACTGATCTAAGGTAATTCTAATCTAATTTAATCTAATCTAATGAAATCTAGGTAATAAACTATAATCGGGGTGGATTAGAAGTTGAGTGTGATGCTCACAAATTTACAAAGAGCAGTAGATTAATCTAAGTAGTAAACAATAGTCCAGGTATATCAGAGGTTCAGAATAACATTCAATTTTGGAAGCTAAAAATTTAATTGAGGTTCAAGAAGAACAATTTAAGCTTCTTTTTGAAGTTACTAATGGTAAGGCTGTTACGAAAAGTCAGAGGGATATCATTCCAAGTAGCTGGGGCTTGGGAACAAATAGCAAATTGATACCTACGCGAGAATTTGTGTAAGTTAAAACAAGAGCGTGTTTAATAATCATGAAACTCACGATTGAAATGTAAAAGCGAAGAAAGAGTGGCAGGCACAAGGCCATTGAAATATGAGAAAACAAAACAGGATACATGGAATTTGTAGAGTAAGTAGAGCGAAAGAATATTGAACTTAGAAAAGAGAGGATTAGTATGTGTAAGTGAAGGAGAGGATGTAATAATACGAAAGGCTTTCTTTTGTAGTATATAAAGTGGTTCGAGGTAGGAGGCAAATGTAGACCCCCAAATTAAATTACAATAATTAATGTATGGTGGGAAAAGAGAATTATATAAAGTTTTTAGGATATGCGAGGGTAGATATCGTCTTAATTTACGTAAAATTCCTTTAACCTTAGCGACCTTATCACATACAGTAATAATATGTTTCCATAAGAGATTTTCATGAATGATAATTCCAAGAAATGTACATTTCTCCACCCGGGTTACAGGAGTGTTATTTATATAGATGTTAACTTTGGAGAGATCAATCTGTTTACGCCGTGGATGGAAGATAATGCATTTGGACTTGTCAGGGTGGATAGCAAGCTTGTTTGCATTAAACCAGGAGAAGACATGAGAAAGCTCTTGATTTGCAATTTTTTCTAGAGTAGCCAAGTCTTTATGACGAAAAAAAATATTGGTATCGTCAGCAAAGAGAATGAAAGAGAGGTAACTAGAGGAGTGGAAAATATAATTAATGTATAAGAGGAAAGGGAGAGGGCCAAGAACTGAACCCTGAAGGACCCCACACTTGACTGTTTTATTGGAAGACACATGGCCATTAACTTTCCATAAAGGGCGGCTTCTAATGCTTATCAGGCATTCGTGTGCAATTCATCTTTTGACAATAGATTCTGCTCATTTGAGCACTTCTACATATGGTATGTTATCTTCCGATAAATTTATTTGTTATATTTGCCACTGGTGCCGACTTAGTATCCTTCTTAGCGGCTTTTCTGAGATGCCCTCCATGCCATTTCATATCATTGTTGGTGTTAAATAAAGAGGAGATGGGCCCAAGAACAACAGTATTATCCAATTTGATCTTAGAAGCGGCTCTGACATCTTGACGAGATTTGTGACGGTAAGTTTTCGCGCCCAAACTGGGACACTTAACCTTCGCCGGCGCCGGCGGAGGGCACCACAATACTGACGGGGGAAACTGATTAACTGGGTAGAGACCACTCGGCAGCGAGGACGGAAACTCGTCACGATAACCTGGTACACGGAGATCTACTTCGAGCGAACTTAGACGGAGGTCAAGGATGAGACAGCGTTTGGTTCCACAGTAAACTTTATTCTAGGTCAGGT